AATTTATTAATGGGAGCCTTGCTTTTAGCCCTGGCTAAATCTATAAATTAGTTTGAGACTGATTGGCCGTAGTACTTTGGTACCTTAAGTGACAATTTGGAAAACAATAATCGTTGCTTGAGGCAAGCAATATTTTCACTATGCAGGTGGTATAAGATGTGCCCTTTTTAAAACACGACGATTGCTCACTAAATTAAGGCGGGAACATTACTTTGCCGATTGATTTACTAATTCTTTCACTTGCAACCAGTCGATTCAACTCTAAACTATGGCCACGCGAACGTTTTATACAATCAAATCTCCTTAATGGCCCCCTCTCTACAACGGCCACTTTTTTGCAGACAGTCCATACGCTGACTCTTGTTTAAACCGCTTTACAACGGCACTTTCTTCTTTCCCCAAGGTAGCCGTTGCGGATAGGATACGAACTGTACTTTATTCTACGCAGTATAACATTGAACATTATTTTGTCAGATTTCTTGTCCCTATTTCTGAAAAAAGCTTTCAGGAAATGAAGACCTGACATTATAAAAAATTTGGAAGAACATCCTGGTTAGCACAAGATGAAAAATTTTAGAAAATTTGGCTTTGCTCGGCTTACAACTTGTTACGCTAATAACGCTAGTTTCAAATTTGAAACGTGGCTCTCGAAAAAAAAAATCAGAATCAGATTGAGGAGATTTCCAACAAAAATAGATCATTGTTAAGGTAAACTAATTGTTGCTATTTTCTGAACTGGAAGGGGTTTACAAGGCAAACAAACTTTTTTTGGCAAAAGCTGAAAAATATATAACAGTTCTGCTGAAATGAATAGTTAAGGGTGAGCAGATAAATGATACCAGGATTTGGGAAGATAAAGGTTTATTTATGTGGGAAAACGTTCCTTTGAGCAAGAACTGAGTATACCAAAAAAATTCAACTGCGCCTAAAATACATGTATACGCCATTTTTGGTCATTGTTGTATACTGCAACATTGGAATTGTCACTTTGACTCTGGTCGAACAAAACGTTTAGTTCAAAACTGAGATCAGGTCCAATTTGAGCAACTCCTAAGTATTCTCTTTGATAACGAACTTGTAATCACGATAATTGTAAATTAACAGAACTTGTTTTGCATGTAAGTCTCCTTTTTGCAAAGTTAGCGAATATTAATTATTTTCATTATATTGTTTTGTATGACTGTTACGCCTAGATTAGCAAATGCTGCCTTGAGACCAGTCTCATCGTGTCCTGGTTTGGCAAAAAGAAAGGCACTTTCTTGGAGTGTCAATGTATTTGCTACCAAAGGAATAATTGGGGACTCTATTTTTACTTCTCCTGCTGGAGACAGGACCGCATTTTACGTGGTCATCCGAGCCACGGGAAGGTCTAGCCGCTAGCAGTGCAAAGGGAGTACCTTTATTTCTCAGTCATTTTAAGACCCTGAGTATTGGTCCGGTCCCGGGAATCGAACCCGAACACCTCCGCAGTCACACGCTCAACCGATTAAGCTAACACTGCCGCGGTGGAAATAAATAAAGTTGATGAGTTGAAGCTTAAAGTTGAAGTTGTGGTCGCGCTTGTGAAGTTGGGCCTGAAAACAGCCTTCTGTTAGGATTGTCCTCATTATGCCGGCCACCCTGGCGGCAGAGCATTTCTTTCGCCTACCCGGTTTTTATCGTACTCGAAAAAGACTCTGCATGAAACGATAGAGATCTTTGTTGAGCATGCGCGGCATGTTGCTAGGTCGTAATTTCGAACCCAGGCGTGAACGTCGTGTACGTGGTACAGCGGGCTCGGTTATGACCGTGCGTTTATCAGTAAATGGATGCTCTCACTCGAAAAGCCAGTTTGACGAGATAAAACAAGATTCACTAGTCCAAAAATTTGGGCTGCGGCGACTTCAAAGGCTTGATGTGATTCAGGCAGAGCCTCCTTTTCTCCTCCTTGATCAAGAAGACAAAAGGGGGCTCTGTTCCCTGGGATTTTGCCGGAATAATTGCTCGGGCGTTTCCATGGGAACGGCCAAACTAATTAATGGGCTTCGTTTTTTTTTTTTTTTTCTGGCGCAAATTGATTGAATGATTGATTGATTAATTTAGATGCTTCTATGTAGTTATATTAACATAGAAAAACAGAAACAGAAGAATAATAACAACTTAGCGAGGGAGCAACTAACGGACTCAAGCGGTCCCNTTTTTTTTTTTTTTTTTCTGGCGCAAATTGATTGAATGATTGATTGATTAATTTAGATGCTTCTATGTAGTTATATTAACATAGAAAAACAGAAACAGAAGAATAATAACAACTTAGCGAGGGAGCAACTAACGGACTCAAGCGGTCCCAAGCAAGGTTACTCCTAGGTGAACAGCAAGAAAAAAACACGACAAATGTAAACTACGTACGTGCAGTAAAGAGACAACAAAAAGGAAAAAAAAAACACTACATAGAACTTCCTTTTCTGCTAGCTGATAAGTTACGAAATGAAATGTTGGTCTCGATCAAACATCAACAGGACAGAGGCATGTTGACGGATCGACAACGATGGCAGATCGATTTCCCGGTACGAGGACGTGCAATATCGAACTCGTGATCGAGTTTCATAACGTAGCACTTGTACAAGTTAGTTTTGAAAGAAGGAACGGATGATTGTTTTGTAATAGTAACAGGCGAATGATTCCAAAGAGTCACGATACGGTTAGAATTAATAGAATCCCTAAACAAATAAGTGCCAAAGGAATACAAACGACGCAATGAAAGATTAGCAGAGGTTTTACTCCGACCTGTGTTAAAGGCGAAGTAATAACTACTGGGGAAGTTATACGAGTCGTTCAACATTTGAAAAACAAGATTAAGTTGCGAAATGCAAACCAGTAATATAATGCCAAAGGATTTAAGGATATAAGCGTAGACTTGTAGCTCGGTCTATGATTGACATCGAAACGGCAATTAAGGATAAATCTTGTTGCGCGTTGCAGAACACGTTCGATAATTTTAAGATCAGAGATGCAGGATTGACTTCACTAGCATACCCTAGATGAGCGCGCACAAAAGTTAAATACAGCAATCTCGTGCTATCAGGCCCTAAATCATGAGAAGCACAATGTCTCCGAAGGAACCCAAGCATTCTGTTGGCTTTTACTACAACTATGGAGACATTCAAACGCCACGTGAGATTGCTACTCGCTTGGACCCTAAGATCTTTTTTCGAGTCCGTCACAGTAAGTGAAATGCCATCAATAGTGTAGGGTCTGTCAACAAGAGATAGGATAGTAAGACACTCTTAAAACTTCATTTTTTTAACATTAAAGGATGAGCCCCAAAGGACAGTCCAATCATATAGACTGTTTAAATCAGATTGCAAAGTTCTGCAGTCAGATAGGTTAGAGATCAAACGTGAACATTTTGCAACGTCAGCACAAAGGGCAAAAGTAGTATTACTGTTAACAACGTCGGGTAGATCATTGATGCCGATAGTAGGGAGAGGAAGGGACAAACAAGCCGTCTTGTGGAACACCAGGAATCATCTGAGACCACGAGGAGAGTACGCCATCGACATGTACACATTTGACACCCAGGCTCACGCGGTTTATATCCGTCTAGTTTAGAGCATAATCATGAGGCAAAGGAATCGAGCATTAATAATTATCATCATCATCATCTTTATAGGGGACGCTCCCGTCCCATTGAGTGGTTTTCAGGGAGGTCCTCACTAAGATTAGATAATATTAAAACTACTAATTACAATCAATCCTAAAGATTTAACTATTGCGCAAATATATAAGGCTAACCGCTAACAAGTTAAAATACTTAAAAGGCTAAGGAAAAAATATGACTAACAATGAAAGTAAAAGATTCCCGCTTCAAATTTTACATGGCATGGGTTTCCTTACCATAGTAAGCACGACTAGTTTCCTTACCATAGTAATAGTAGAACATTGCTTTGATTCCTTGTGAAACCGCACGATTTCCATATGAGTTCGACATCAGCAAGACTTGCATCACATTTTAAAAAAAGTGCCTGATTACAAATTTGCCAAACATGGCCTCGAGCAGTTTCAGTTCTACAACATTGTCAGCTGCCTCCTCAGATGATTCGTCTCAACAATCGAGCGAGAACTAAAATCATGCAGAAGAGGAGTTTTATATCCGAGCATATTAGTGATGCCTAATGAGTATAATAGTGGAGAATTTCCTTTACTTTATTGGATAGTTTTGCCGTTTTATGGAATTCATATGATTTGCCAGGTCTATTCTGGATTCGCTTGAAATTTCACGGAACAATTTGAGGGCGTCGCGGAGTTAAGTTTGTCCCCAGGTTGATGTAGAACAAGTTGCCTTTTTGATTTACCAACCAATGAGTGCAAGAGCTGCAATGTAGTTCTATATCAAAACTTGTTTTCACTAGAAAGCTCAGCCAGGAATGATTTGTTTTAACGGGTTGCTGACAGGCTGAAGCTCCGCATTGCCAAAAAATTCGGCCGCTGAGAAGTATGTAAACTTAGAGGCATTATTTTCAAAGCTAGTGCTGCTTGTCTCAGAAAAAGAATTGTTATAATTCGATGCAAATTTTTCTTCCTTTTTCATTAGTCGAGAGCCCACCACGTATACGTAACCTGCAAATAACTGCCTACAAATAATGGTCTGCTTATGCGCAATGTCGTCCAACTGTGTTTGGCTGCAAATGATATCAGTTCTGCTCATGCGTAGATGAAACTGCGATTTTATTTCCCTCTTACGATCGCGTGAAAATGGCTGATCGTGAAAATGGCTCATCGCTTCCAATCCATGAGTTTATTAATTAAAATTAAGCTCGGGGATCGAATGATAACACAATTATTGAACTCGGTTATCACAAAATAGCGTGATTTGTCAGTGTCTCGCAGATCAATTATTTGCCTCAGCCGAAATCATTGATCTGATCGCCACTGACAAATCACGATATTTTGCTCAACCTCATCGAATAATTGTTAATTGTTTGCCATCGGGTTTCTGTAAGGGCAAACCAGAACAAATATTGTTTTTTTCGCTCTGACTTTCTGCGGGTGAATTTCTGTGTTAATATTACTTCAAAAAGAAGCTTTTTGCACCCAGCTGTTGCTCGTTAACTTTCTTTAGTTTTAAGTTTGTGATTTTGTTTTGGGGGAGGAAAGACTCATACCAAGATAGAAAAAAGTTACTTCCCTTTGATCTTTTACTAAAGTAACCTCCGAGTTAATTCAAAACATCAAACTCTAAAGGTAAAACTTAACTTTGACTCGCGAAAAGACCAAACGGCGAAAACCACAAGTGCTTGACAGAGCGCGATAATACTGTGAGCTGATTGGTCAAAAATGATATTACACAAGTGTGGATAGAAATGATATCACCACTGGCGGGTTAGCGCATTTATCGACTTACTACCACTCGGTATACCACTAACTTTTAAATAATAAAATATGGAAATGAGAAAAAAAATAATTCAGGTCAAATCTGAAGTACTTGTACAACATGCATTTCTACCCTCTGAGCAGACACCAAAAAGGGCCTGCATTTCTTGTATACTGTATACTTTTTTTTTTTAATAAACAGTAGTTTATTAAAAAAAGAAGTTTTTTCAGTTTATTATCATTTTGCCATATAAGTTGAATATATACATAAAATTAAAAAAAAGGATGAGGCAAGAGAGCCCGTGGAAGCCAATAAGGCTTATTAATAGCACCACCTTTAAAAATATATCAACTAAATTCACCTAATTAATTTATAAAATACTGGCTTCCGCAAGACAATTTAACCAAGCACAGTCATACAATTTCTTTACAACATAAAAAAAGTCATTAAATAGGATAAAAATAGATAAGGATGAACGTGCAAGTGCAAAAACTAAAAAGAAAAAAGCGAGAAAAAAAATAATGCAAGAATATACGAGAAAAAAAACGGAAAGAGAAAAACTATACATAAGCGTTAAGAGAAGAAAGGTGTGCTTATACCAAGAAATATAACTTTAGTTTAGAAGTAAACGCAGCAAGAGATTTTAACGATTCGTGACGAAATATCATGGTTTACAGTGTCACAGGCCTTGGATAGGTCAATAAATAGACCCCAAAGTAACTTGTCCTTGATCAATGGCATCTGAACGTTTATCATATAACCTGAATTGAATTAACGCATAGGCAGAATAGTGATTTTTCCCAAACCCATATTGCTTATTACAAAGAATGTTAAATTTATTCAAGAAATTGATCAAACGATTAAAAACATTCCTTTCCAGAAAAAGCCGGCAAAACAGAAACTTGTCTATAATTGGTAGACCGAGAGAGATCAATAACTACGGCTATCTTCATCTGATCGGGAACGGTACCAGAACTGAAAGATAAATTCGTACGTTAATGGCTGAACGATTAAATCTATTATTTCTTTAACTACGTTCATAGCAATTTGGTCATATCCTTCAGCAGTTCCTGCGCGAAAACTAGTACAAGTTTCAATTATTTCCTGCTCAGTAGTTGGTTGTAGGTACTACGAACTAACAAAAGGTCTAGAAAGAAAAGAACGATTTGATTCATTAACGCGAGTACCATGGCGATTACCCTCTTTTCCGATCAGCGAAAACAAGCTGACACTAGAAAGCTTAAGCAACAACGATGGTGACGGCTTCGAAAACGTCACTTTAAAAAAAAGAGAGTGAATTCACGCTGCTTCAAACTATATCGAGCTTATTCCATCTCCCTCAATTCGTGAAATGTTGGCAAGCTGACAGCCTTTCATGTGCTTTGGCTAAATAAATTTCGCAAGGGCTTGGCCTTAGCATAGGGGAGAAACATCTGGTGATGTGTAGGCGGGTTTTCATCGCTTGGAGTACAGGTGAATTTATTAGCCGTATTTGATATAAAGAGCTATAAAAACAAACAAAATTTCTAACTACTACTTGATGCCTTATGTCTCTCTTTACTTAGTTGCAATATAGCACTCACACATCGTAAACTGATGAAATACACACCGAAGGAATATTCCTCGTAATTTTCGAACTTTCTAAACTCCTTTTTGAACTAGACAATATAGATAAACATCGTATTCATTTGGTATCACTCGATATTGTATTTCCGAATAACAATTTGAAAATAATACCAAAACATGCTGTTTTGTCTCTCTTTCTACAAAATGAAAAAATGAAAAAAATTATTGATTAAAATAACCGTATTCAGGTCAGATTTGAAAGAAACTTTTTCTCCTACCTCAAGAATCACTGTAAACGCATTCCCTGGTTGATCCGTGAGCTTGGCGTCATGTTGTGTTGTAGACAACTCGTAGTTGTTCAGTTCACAACTGCCTTTACTGTTCTCACCAAAAAACTCTTTGAAGTTCGCAGAGGTACACCACGAGTGCCTCAAACATGCCTGGCTACAGGACACGAGACTTGACCAATGAATTTTTAACACTGCTTGGCTTGCTAAGCGCTTATTTTGCCTAATGATGAAGTTGGCAGATCTAGAATTCTCTTCGTTTGCAACGATTGTGGTAACAAAATGGGTCCAAAATAT